CTCAATTGCTGGTACATGTGCCCGACCAGCTGTTCACCGCCGGCTTTGAACAGTTCAGTCGGAATACCGTCGGCTCCGGGGGCCTTGTTGTTTTTAAGCCGCCATATTGCTGTGCTCACCTCGTCTTGGTCAGGTGGAGGAAAGTGAGTTTCGTCCCTATATATTGGTTCGTGTTCTTCTTCTTCATACACGCCACCTGTGTTTCCATTCAGAAGCGTTGAGAAGTGCTCCCTCCATATCTCAAGTGTACTCTGGACATCTGTTACCAAATTCATCTTTACAGGAACCAGCCCCGGTCTTGAAACCATTTGATTTCTGCCTTATTTTCTCAAGCTCTTCGCATTCACGTTGTTCTGCCTCATGTTTCTTTCTTTTGAATTGACGTCTCTCCTCCCTCCTCATCTCCCGGTGTCGTTCCGCTATCGTTCGCTGTAGGGTGGCTTTGTATGCTGCGTATTTCTCTGTACCAGCCGCGCGGCACTCTTCGTCATACCAGTTGTTTCTACGCGGACAGTAGTATCCCACCACCTCTTCCGCAGCGCACAAAGTGATTGGGAGATGGGTTCCCACTGCTCATTTCATCCGGTCGTTGAAGAGATTCTTGTTTAAGCAGGATTGAGAATCGATTGCGAAATTTCTCGGCTGTCTGTCGTGAATGCAGCTTCTCGACGTCAAACTTTCGCCGCGTTGCCTGACGGACGTTCTTCGTTTAACAGAGGCACATGCGGACCTTGGCTGCAACAAGGTAGTGATCCGAGTCGATGTTGGCTCCTCGGATAGAACGCACATCAAGAACGGTCGAAGCGTAGCTTCCGTCTATCAAAACATGATCTATTTGGTTCTGCGTTCTTTGATCAGGAGACACCCAAGTCGCTTTTTGGATGTTTCGACGCTGGTGTCAGGTACTACTAACTAACATGTTCCGTACCGCGGCATAGTCGATCAGCCCCTCTCCGTTGACCGAGGTGTTGTCATGAAGGCTGAATTTTCCGGTTGTTGGCCCAAAAATGAATTCCTTGCCCACCCTGACGTTAAAGTCGCCCGTCGTTAAGTCGTCTCCCTCGGGGCGTGCGCACAAATGAGGCTTACGTTGTTAAATTAGGCTTTGGTGCGGATCGTGGCGATTCGTTCACTATGGGAGTAAACCTAGAGACGAGGTGTCGTAGTCTCCGCCCAACCTTAAATCCCACACCAAATTTGTGCGCCGTCTCATGGCAGCTATAGTAGATGTTGCACGCTGCATATTTCATGCAGCCGTGCAGTGTTGCCGTTGAGAATTTTCAGAAAGTCGCAAAAAAGGGGTCATTGACGAAGAAAAGGGTCACCATATTATTTTTGCCCTTCTTTACTAGTAAAAGAAGAAATCTGTTGAATTTAAAAAGAAAATAGTGGGACAAGATTTGCAGAAAACAGGATTGCAAACAAACACATAAATCTAGTTGCTGCAAAGAGAAGAGTTGCATTTACTTTAAAAGTTTTAAGCGGCGCATTTTTTCGAACTTACAGGAGCAGTGGCGTAGCCAGGGGGGGCGGGGGGAATTGGGGGATAGATCCCCACCCTTCGTCAGTGAAACTTTTTATTTTTGAACTGATAACACAATAATATTTTACCCTCCCGATTTATAACTTTTTTTTTATTTCAGACTGATGGCAAATTATCTTTTAATGAATATATAAAATTATCGGTTGGTGGATTGTGTATTTGAATATTTGCGAAATACACTAGGCCATTTTGCTTAGTTCCCCACAGTGTTGGGAAATAATCTATAATCTATACAAAAACTGTACTTTTCGACACTTTTTTTTACATTTATATATTTTACACTTTTAACATAAATGTCAAAGCAGATATTTTAAGATACACTTCTTAACAAACACAATTTTTTAAGTTATTATGAATGGATAAAAGAGACATCTTCTTTGAATTCAGTACTAAAACTTGACATTTCAAGTGCTTATCAAAACTTTATACATGTTAACTAAATTGGCCATTTATCTTAAAATTATATAATTTTAATTATTTGTTTATACAAATGCAGTTTACAATTTAACAAAACCCGTATAAATCCAATGTTTAATCTTTGCGCAACATTAACAAAATCAACAAACTTTCATAAAGCTTTTTAATTAGATTTGATATAAATACATATTTTGAGTACGCAGTTTTGTAGTCCGATCAATTCAAATAAAGAGCAAGTTTAAAACAGAGTTGGGCAAAATTTATTCGAATGACGAATAAGAAATGAATAAATTGTTTTTCTTGTTATTCGTAAATAATAAATAATTTTGTTTATTCAAAAAAAAAATTATTCGAATGACGGATAAATTATTTTATTCGTTATTCGAATAATTATTATCTTCATTAATTATTCGAATAACGAATAAAATAATAATAAAACAAGTAATTTATGTATATAGATATGTACATATATTTATGTATAAAATGATAACCGTTTTTGTTACGATTTAACTCAAACCCCTGGATAGATTTAAATCAAATTTTCGGAGGTTATTCCATGCGCGTAAAGTCCTATTAAAGACTACTAGAAAACTCCTTGGTGGCGAAGGAGCCGAGTTATTTATAAAAGCCGTATTTATGAACTGATTTCATTCAAATTCAAAATGTGTTCTTCCTGCATAATGAAAAATACTTATGCGAAAAATAGACCCGCTAGGTGGCGCTGCAGTTGAGTTATTTAGAAAATCTCTATTTATTGTACAATCAGGTTGCAATTCATAATGGTGCTGCAGTCGAAATCATTAGAAACCCCATATGTCTGGACTACTTTGTTTTTTATGTTTATATTATACGAATTTACGATGTCTCACGTCGTCATACACCCTAAATGCGACCTTGCATCTACCTCCGCTTGATGAAATTGCTCGGGCGGCCATTGCTGCAGCAGTAAGACTCAAGTGGCGAATCAGCAAAGAAAGTTTCGACCACATCCTTCCAAGAAAGACCACTGTTGGTATGTCAATGGCCAAATTTTACATCGAGGATTTTTGGCTCTCCTATAATAGAAAACGCACATCTGTGCTCTTCAGCTTCCTTGTAAGGACTTTTGTTGGCCTACATGACATAAGACTAGAGGTTGACGCATCGGACCAATGTTGTAGTTACAAGATCATAGAAGAAGATTACGCACGCTTAGAAAATATCTCACAAGTGGAAATAAGACCATCGGTAAAGCTCATGACATTGAAAGGAATTTTTTCTTGCATATAGCATCAGAGCGCTATTTTTTTGGCAGAAATATGTGTGAGAAGGGTTCTGCTCTTTAGTTGTTCAACCTAAATTAAGAATTTTTACTTTACCCATATTTGGTTTTCAACGCTATTCTTGCATTGGCCAACGCAAAAAATCTTATCAGGGGCCGCGAAACCAGAGGGAATGGGCTAGTATTCTTGATAAAATAGTAAACAGAATTCAGCTGACTCACAATCCTTGACAATAGAAATAAAAGTAAAAGGTGGCTCAATGTGTTAAAAATTAGTTTTTATTCATTATTTAAAATAAATAAAATGAATAAATTGCTTGCGAATAATTTATTCGTGAATAAGTTATCTGCGAATAATTATATTACGGATAAAATTTTATTCGAAAAATTATCTAAATAACAATTTATTCGAATAATGCCCAACTCTGGTTTAAAATACATAGCTGCGACTTATCGTTGATTTTTAATATATTTTTTTTTTTGATGAAGGTGTTGCTCATTTTCTTCATCAAAAAATCGACGAACATACTTAGATAATATGGAAGAAAATTACCGACATCGTCAAAAATATGCCATACATCAACTGTAAAACACAGGTACTTAAAATTTGAAGTTATTAGACTAAAATTGAATGAGCTAAAAAACTGCAAAATATTAAGAGATAAAATTGAAATAGAAAGTTCGAAATTTTTACGAAAGTTTGTCGATTTTTTTTTTAATGTTGTTCAAAAATTAAACTTATTTTCATTTAGTGTTTGTTAAGGAATAAACTATATTTTTATAAACAAATAATTCAAATTAAAATATAATAAAATAAATAGTCAAATCTAGTCAGTATGTGAGTGTCGTAAAGTTATGATATTTAAGAACATCTCTTTCTTAATTAACGATGACACTGTTTCTATATGAAGCTGATTTCGAAATTTTGTTTTAATAAAATTTAGTATCGAAAATATTCTTTCAAAACTTCCTAGGAATGTGATATAATGGTTCGTTCAAAACCTTTTTTCAAAACTTATAAATAAACTTATAATAAACTTATAAATAAACTTAAATATAAACTTATAAATGAATTCAAAAATAATATAAAAACGAGAAGGCGAAGACAAAAAGAGAATAAAAAAATTTCCCGCAGTGAATTTTCAGATTTTTAAAACGGTATAGTAATTTAATTTTTTAAATTTAAATAAAGCATGAATATCCCATGGAATAAACGAATAGATAAAAAGTATATAACGGTAAAACTGGCACATACATAAATATATGAAAGAATTCACTCAGGCGACGCCTCTAGCCATAGTGTGTCACAAATTTAAGTTATCGATGGAAATATTTTTTCATCCCTCCCCAAAGCCAAATCCTGGCTACGCCACTGCACAGGAGGAAATATATTTTCATAGCATGGTTCTGTTAACATTTTCTAAAAATCTCTGAAAAAGGGCAAAAGTCGCACATAATTTTGGAAAAGGGTAAAAAAATCTAAATTTTAAAAAAGTCGGGTCAAAGGGTAATGGCGCTTAAAAAGGGCCAAATTGCTCCTTTAGTCGCACAACGGCAACACTGCAGCCGTGTCCCGTCCATCGCATTTTCTGAATTGCGGTGATGTCAGACATATATTTTTGAGGACATCCAGCCCAAGTAAGAAAGTTATAAAAACATTTATCAGTTATGTATTCAATTGGCTGTTTTAATGCCTCTAATATGCTTGATTTTAATTGTCTGACATTTATGCACATAAATATGTACGCATGTCGATAAAAATGTGTCAAAAATTAAAGATTTTTTTTCATTCCGTCTTTAGTCATTTAATAAAATCATCCATTGGTTTCGATTACAATGTATTTTATGTTTCATTAAATAATGGAGTAACTGCACGAAGGAAGTTGACCTCGAATTCCTCCTCCGAAAATCTTTCCACCGACGATCTGAAAGCATATTTAAAAAAAAAGTATTGATACAAATTTATTAGGTTTATCAAAAATACGTTTATTTTCGGGCATATACAACGATCGTAATACATAGAAATAAGTTAATAAAGGTATACAATTAAATGGCGGCACATCCCGCTACCACCCGCAAAGAAAGTTTACATTTCATTTGGTATCACAAAGGACAATCTCTTAATTGTTTAAGTGCGTCCCAGCCACTATGACCTAACCTAAGCTACGACTAGCCTCAAAACGTATTGATATGTAAAAAAAATCTTCAAATTTTTGTCATTCAATCAAATAAAAGAAATTATTTTAATTTACCACGTTTCTATATATATAAATAGGCTAAAAAGCGGAAAATAATTTTTCCTACTTCTATGTGTATAACTTGTCTCGATAAGTTTTGATTTTCAAATTTTAGCAAGTCATTATAAACATAAAATATAAATATTCATCTGTTATTTGATTATGATAAATAATATGTATATAATCTACACATATAATAAAATTGTAACAGGCATGTACATTATAAATTTTCAACAAGAATTATTTTTTTTGGGGGGAGGTGGTTTTATTCGAGCAAAATAAGTCAAATCAAAAATTTTTTTGGAATTTTGACTGACTGTGTGTCTGTATGTTTGTACGCGCAGCACTCGACAGCTAACTCATGGGATTGAATGCAAATTTCACCGAAGCATTGCTAGAGGTCTAAAAAGGAGAACAAAGAGAGTTGACATCTGTTTGAAAATTGCAGTTTAAGTATACTGATAAGATAAAGTAAATATTGCAATATGGCTGTTAAAAGAAAGAAGGCTTACAGCCAAAAATATTTTTCCTGAAGGCTGCTACCTGTTTGAAAATTTTAATTTAATTTAATTGATATTGCAATATTGCAATATGGGTATCAAACGTAAGAGGTTTATTTAATAAAGTCTACTGCCGAAAATATTTTTGAGGAGGGTTGCCACCTGTTTGAGAAATTGTATTCCTTCAAAATGATAAAATAAATGAAATATTACAATACGGACATCGACCAGCGCAAAAATACGTTTAAGGCGCAGTGAAGCACGCCGGGTGTTTTCTAGTAGATAGTAAAATAAATAACAGATTGAACCTTACACAATATGGGTGCATTCCAAAACGTCTCTTTTATTTCTAAACCTCAATAGATTTTAATGCCAAATGTTGCAACAACGGTTACTGCCGTCCCTAAATTGAAGCGCTAAGCATTGGGTTCTCCAATGCCAGCGAGTGCCAGCGCGCCTTATATCCAAAGCAACGCGGCGTAATTTCTGACGTTTTCTCATTTCCTCGCATTTTTATTCCTCTTTCCTTTTTTGTCCTCTCTCTTTCTTTCCGTCTTCTGCATCAAACTTCAACACGTAACGCCGTCAAAAATGAAAATTCCATTTGCTCACGTTAGCGCCGCGTTATTGTGGAATGCTTCATACAAATTGTATGGGCACGAGGTTTTTGACAATCCCATGGCGCCCCAATTTAGGGAAGGCAGTAGATAATAGTTTGAAGCAGAATTTTAATCTTCTTCCTACATATGTATATATACGTAAAGTAAGCTCATAAACAAAGGTACATATCTGTGTTCGTATGGAAAAGTAGCTTATCTCGAAAGGCTGACTTTAATATAAATCGGCATTTGCAGTATACGACTGCGAATGACTCGCTGGCGCTGATCCGTTGAACAACTTTTAGCAAAGAAATAGTTCCGATACTAGCAAGTCAATATTCTTATTAAGTCTCGTCAAAAAATTCCTTGTCGTTCAAAGAATAAAAGGAATGCCGCATTATACTAAAGACAACCTTTCGACATAAGCTACTTTTCCATACGAACACAGATATAGTTATATATATATACCTCAAGTTATTGTTATTTGTGTGCGTGTTTTTTTATTTTGAAAAAAAAGCTTTCTTAGAGGTCGCGCTAGTCGGTTTTTTATAAAAACCCTGATGTTCTCAATTTTTTTATTTTCTTGACATGTTAAGATACAGCTAAAAATTGGTTTTTTACTTATAATTACTCTGGTATTATTGGGAAACATTCCCTTAATTACATACCTGTCTTGGGCAGTTAGAAAGGGCCTAGTCCCCGAAAATATGCTCTCGAAAAGAGACTAGTAAAATTAAAACGTTGATACTGAACGATTTACGCATTGTCATGGGTTGGAACTTGTTACTAGGGGGTTTCTGAGGTTGCTATTTAGGAATCTGAAGTCAGTTTTTCGAAATTCAAAATGGCGGATCCAAAATGGCGGTCCATTTTTTTTTATTGATTGGATTTGTTCGAAGCCCGGCACTCAAGAGTTTTTGTGGTCGCCGATTACGAATCTGAAGTCAATTTTTTAAATTTCAAAATGGCGGATCCAATATGGCGATCAAATAAAAAAAAATTACTAATATTGAAACGTTGATGCTGAACGTTTTAAGCATTGTCAAGGGTTGAAACTTGTTTCCAGTAGGTTTCTGGGGTTGCTGATTACGAATCTGATGTCAGATTTTCAAAATTCAAAATGGCGGTTAAGAGTTTCAAACAAATCCAATAATTTTTTTTTAATTTTTTTAATCAGAAACCCCAGAAACCCACTGGAAACGTGTTTTAACCCTTGACAATGTTTCAACCGTTCGGTATCAACGTTTTAATTTTAGTACTTTTTTTAATTTGATCGCCATATTGGATCCGCCATTTTGAATTTTAAAAAATTTACTTCAGATTCGTAATCGGCGACCCCAAAAGCTCTCGAGTGCCGGGGTTCGAACAAATCCAATCATTTCTAAAAAATGGACCGCCATTTTGGATCCGCCATTTTGAATTTCGAAAAACTGACTTCAGATTCCTAATTAGCAACCCCAGAAACCCTCTGGTAACAATTTCCAACCCATGACAATGCGTAAATCGTTCAGTATCAACGTTTTAATTTTACTAGTGTCATTTCGGGAACTAGACCCATTCTAATTGTCCAAGACAGGTATGTAATTAAGGGAAAGTTCCCCAATAATACCAGAGTAATTATATATAAAAACCACGTTTTTAGCTGCATTTAAACATGTCAAGAAAATAAAAAATTTGAGAATATCAGAGTTTTTATAAAAAACCGACCAGCGCGACCTCTAAGAAAACTTTTTTTTGAAATAAAAAAATACGTGTCTCTGTTTTTATCACAAATAACAATATTCTGATGTATCTTTATATATATATATACATGTATACCAACATATGAATCCAACTTACCTCTCCTGTTATTTTGCTTTTTTAACTATTCTCGGTTCTCGATTTTGGTTAAATTTACAAATGTACATACCTTGATTGCATATAAATCTTATTTACGTTTGCACAGAGAATTTTTGAGTGACCTATAAATCTCTTCGGGTCATACATACATGTACTCATGTATATACATTGTTGAGGTAGGTTAGGATATTTAGCTAAAACTAGACCCAAATAAAAAATTTAGTAATTAAGTAAACCTAAGTTGATAAATTTGAATTCCAATCATTTAAGAATTTCTAGTATTAAGATTATTATATATGTATTATATCCTTATTTATTATTTATTATTAAATAATAAAGGGTTATCATAATGATTGTGTAGAGCAAACTTAATGGTCTAATTTCGAAGGATGTGTAGGTGGTCCGATGGGGCTTTTGTTTTACTTTGAATACCTTCAAAGCCATGGTAGGGTGGGTAAAGAGCAGCGCGCAAACGTACGAACGTGCTGCACAGCTTGGGGTATTCCAGGCATAGGTGGATGGTAGTAATTAGGCTTGGTGGTAGTTTTCCTTAGTGTGCAAGACTAAATATTTTGTTAGGTCCCTAGGTCGATGGATGTAGGCTTGGTTTGCAACAGTGTATTGAACCCCACCCCAGGCTGAAGCTCCGGCACGTAAGCCAGTGCACACGCCACGGTTGCAGGCAGGCAATGCAAGCCCATCTGGAAGCAAATACCTAAGGGTCACATAACAGAAATGGCGCCTAACGTGGGGCCCGATTAGGATGACCTGTGGTGTACAGTAGCCCTAATAATTTGTGGCCCCTTGAGTTATTCCCTCTTGGAATATTATAGTCCATCCGAATTTTTACTTGAATATATATAGCTTTTATTTTTTTATACAATTTGTAATATTTACATCGAACATTAGAATTTCAAAAGCGTGCAGCTATATGCCAGTTGTTTTGACATATTCAATTAGAACACAGATTGTTTCGTTGTTAATTATTATATATTTGTATGTCAAGTCACATGCCGGAAAAGCAGATTCCTAAAGGCTTTATGTCTACAGAACTGACCGCTAAAGATTAAGTATATAAATATATGAATTAGGGCTGTGCGATTATCCGATTACTCGAGCAAGTTGGTTAATCAGTTATTCGGTTAATAAATTGCTCGAGTAATCAAGATTTTGATTACTCAAAACGATGATTAATCGAGTTACTTGAAATATGGTTACTCAAAAAAATTAATTTTGCTCGTTAAAAGAGTCGGCTTTGGAAAATGCTTATTTTCTTTTCTATATTCTGTATATGAAAAAATTATTTAACTTAAATTTTTGAAAACAGAAACGTTGTTTTCAAAGTATCAAGGAACTTCAACTACTTATGTGTAAAGAGTACTCTGAAATGTTGATTACTCATTTTACTCATAAGGTTGAATAATCATAAAGCAAATTACTCAAATATCTTCGTAACTGAACTTTTGAGTAATCATAAATTCCAATTAATCGAGTAATTGAGTTATTTGCCTTATGATTAATTAAAATTATTAATAATCAATTAATCGCACAGCCCTAATATGAATTGTTTGGCATTTTATTTTGTTTGCGAATTTTCGATTTTTTTTCAAGTTGTAGGCTAATAAACTTTCCGGAAATTCAGTTGTTGCTCGACTGTGATCGTGAAATTACCAAAAATTTGCTTTGAAAAGGCTTTGAGGATTCGCTAGTCTCAAATTCCACTTCGAGATGTCTTATAGTTTGGTTATAT